CAGTATAATAAAAACAAATGAGAAACGAATGGAAAAAAATTTACTGAAGAAGTATGCGTTTATTATTTCTGTTTATTGACTTGCTGTACTTTAATAGTCTATCTGATGACAATCTATACTTTTTGTTTGTTAGTAACCATCAAGCGCTTTGCTTATGAAAGTGTTTATATTTGTTACTAATTCGAACACGAAAGAATGATTGTTTATTTGTTTCATTGATACTATCATATAGTTTTATACCATCAAAGTGTTGTTTGTAATATAATATTCTCATCATTATTTTCACTTTCATTTCCACTGCCACTAAATATGTCTGAATCAGAAATTTCTAAATTTTCATTATCACTACTACTATCAATACTGTTTTACAGTTATTATCACTGTTACTACCACTGCTGTTATCATTATTATCATCATTTTTTAATTTTGAATAATCAACTGTTTTTAGAGATTGCGATAAACGTTTATAAACGTAGATACTTAGTTCATTAAAATTATATACATTATTTTGTTTCAATAATTCAGTCATTTTCAGTCGATCAATAAATGTTGTAGCATTATTATAGGCATTTTGAACAATTTCTTCTACATCTTTCGTTGTCAGTCGATTTGAACTATCGTTATTATCATCAATTGTCATATAAGACTTAATTTTTAAATGCTTTTGTTTATGGCGAATTGGTAATTTAATAAAATAGTCGTGTCTCTCTTTGATTTCTTCCTGACGTTTGAAATTATTCAATATCGAAATTTTTTCTGCTTTTTTCATAAATTGTTTTTCGGAAAAATTGGTAACAGAAGATTGTGTACCGGTTAGTGAACGTGCATGACGAAAGATTCGTAGATTCATAATTTTACGAACTAAATAAATATGTATCAAGTGCAGTGGATGGTATTTGTTGATCATGTACAAGTAATAGAATCGTTGTTAATGTATGTATATTTAATTCTATACTCATCTATGCTGGTTTCGAAATAAAATATATATCTTTACTACCTGTTTTTGATTGTGTTTTGTTTCTTCTTTGTTCTTGTTGTTAATCACTATCTTTATCCAAAGTAGACAAATCTAACCATGACCACCAAAATCTACAGATAAATGTACTAATCCATCCATAATACAAACGACTTTTTATTGTTGTTGATTTATGGAAGTATGCTTGTATAATTAAATGTAACATATACAACTAGCAATGAGTAGATATTATATCATTATCATTTTCTAATTAGTTCAGAACATCAATAGAAGAAATTTTCAAACATAAGCAAAAATTCTGTCTATCACATGGAAGTATGTTGAACGGACAAGATTATGGTCCAATTTTGAATAATTTTCAACCAAATTACTGAGATATTTAATATGAACAGACTGCTTTCCCATAAATAATTGTGCATGTTTAGATAACATAACGATTACGAATTTTTGTTACCAAGTGTATTCCATCTTGAAAGCACAGAAACAAGTGTTTCGATCTCAGATAAAACCATGGTTTTCATTTATGTGGTAGATCAATTTCGAACAGATCATTATGGTAAATATCAATCAGATCGATATTTAGTAAACGACTAAAATACCCTTTTGTAAGTCGCACCGCTTTCAAATATTTACCATTACAATCAGTTGAGTAATTATTCTCGAATACCAAGTAGTATTCCGGGAAACTGACAAATCAAAGATATTCCATCTAGACACCCCTAAGGCCTATCAAGAAAAATTTGACATTTATATGCAGAAAACAAGCGCATGTTAAGAAATCTCCAGTAACCCTCTCAGACGCGCCATTTCTGATTTAGACAGACTTCTGAAACTTTTTCTCCAGCAGAAACGTATTACCCCAGCTCAATACGAGAAATTACAACCCTCCGTAGACGAGTGCGAACTACCGCATCTATACTACAACCCCAAAGATCATAAAATAGGTGAGCCCCTTCGTCCAACTGTTGCCGGAATCAATTCTCCCAAACTTTTCTCGATCAAATGTTACGTCCTATTTTTGATAAACCAACTGTGCACCACACATTAGAGAATTCTCTTCAGTTTCTAGACCACATTGACAGCTATACAGTATCTCGATTGACGCAACAGTTTACTTTTGACATCATGGACCTATACACTATGATCCCTCAGAAAGCGTTCGTTTCCGCTGTTTGTCGCCTTCTTTCAAAAACAAAAAATCACAAAATAAACGGTATAACGATAGAAACTACTGCTAGAATGTTACGTTTCATACTCAGTAACTCATTTTTTGCGTTAGGCAAAAGATATTATAAACCGATCAAAGGTGGCGCGATGGGATCAGCAGTGACCCAAGTACTAGTGACGTATACATGATGGAGTGGGAACACAACATTCTAGCAATGCAATTGCACGAAAAAGAAATATATCTGAGATTTTGAGATGACATATACCTAATCACGAAAAGACCTCTCTCTGACTTTGTGGACTTATTAAAAAAACTCGATGCCAAAGACCCACACATAAGACTGACTTACGAAACCGGAGACTCAGTAGATTACTTAGACGTCACGATTTTTACACTAGCTTCCGTCGAGATCATACATACACATCACATGCTGTGTACACATCGCATACTGAGATGCGACCGGCTTAAACCTCGTTTGAACTGCCCGAACAGATTAGTAGAAACAACATTTTCCTATGCTCATTTTATATGTACACCAAGTACACAATGGAAAAAAGAAAACTTCACGTTTGTTTCTATAGGTATTGTAATCACATTTCCTTCAAATCATGGTGTCGAGAGGCAGAAAGGAAGAGAAGAATATTTCTTTTTCTCTTGGGTATGAACAAGTATCTCTTCTTTTCACATTGGGTACATAGCCTGTTGTTTAACTTGTTCTTTCAATTCTTTCGTTCTCCAAAATTTCGAACAACACTGCTCTCTTTGCTGAACTAAATTCATCCACCCGATCAACGGTCTCTACTTCTGATATACAATGAACTTGTACCCAACAGAATTTCTTTGTAGAAAATCGTTTGTATAGAGGTTGATTTGATTTTTATTCGAGAACAAAATAAGACAACAAAGAAAGCAATAATAGAGTGTCGCAAGGATAACAGAAAAGTGCGAAGTAATCCATTTAGTTACTGTTACCCTAAACGACATATAAAAGAAAAACTAAGAGGTAGAGATTCTCTACCTTTCTGTACTCGAGAGGAGAAAGAAAAAAGTAGATGTAAATTTATATTCCAAGAAATCCTAAATGACCTAATTGATGGTGCAGTCACAACTACATCAGGTAGCCCATTCCACTCCATTGCCGTACGATGAAAGAAAGAGTATATTGTACGTCCGGACATTGTCAGGAACATGTACAGTTTCAGAATGGTTCAACCTTTCAGATCGCCTGTTTGTGATGAGTGTAACAAAATGGAATGATTGTTCAAAGTTTTGTAGAAATGAAGTAAACGAAACTATTTTCTTCCTTCATAGAAATCTTGTATATTAAGTTTTTGCGTTAGCAAAGATACCGAACCATCAGACCTTTTCAGTATAATTCTGGCGGCTAATCTAATTACAGAATCAACCCGCCATATATGATGAGAAAAACAATTGAGCAGTAGTCTGGTTTACTCAAAATGCAAGCCTTGAATATTGATAGTCGAATAAGAGAAGGTGCAAGCTTAAAACACCGATATAAGGCTCCTAATCTCCTACGACACGCAAGAACAAGAGTGTCACTATAATCGCCCCAATGTAAATTTGAAGATGAGCGAAGGCCAAGGAGTATAACTGATGACTCTTTTTTAATTAATAAGCTGTCTATCGTGAAATAATACACTTTTTTTAAAGGTCTGTGGGAAAAAAGTAACGATGAACATTTACTGTAATTTAACGACATGAGGTGTGATTGACACCATATATGTATAAGATCGATATTTTTTCAAAACGAGCTTTCAGCAAGGCGCCTTTCAGCATGTGACGTGTACATATGATTTCGCGAACAGAACTGGATCAGATTCTGACGGCATTTCAGCCGGCTTGAACCAGAATCCGCCAATTCTTGAAGAGCATCTGTGGAGACTCATAACCCCACGCACTCAGATCCTGTCTGCGAACTGATAGATTCAGCTTTAACTATGCTGCAATTCTACCACATTCTGGTTCGATTCAGGAAGAAGCACAACTAAATTTGTGTAGAAATGCGCGCCGGGCCCGGCGGTATGTGTGAGAGTGAGTGGCGATACTATGAATTTTGCAAAACACCGAAGAGAGAAAACACAGAGAATAGTGAATAAAGAATCCGTAATACAGCAAAAGGCCTCAAAGTCCTCATATCCGTCAACCATAGAGTACACACACAACAGGAGAATACGGACAGCAAAACCCAATCTGCCAATTCTTCATATTCTTGATTTTATTTAAGGTATTAAAATGCTATGAAGAGTGTGGACATAACACCTATTCACTATTGTGAAAAACACATCTGATTTTTCTGTACCGGTTTCGGTCAACCGACAATCAAAACGCTACAGAGTGGCGAAGATTAGACACTCTGACGAAAACCGATGCAATGGAAATCACGTGCATTGTATAAAGATGCTGGCAAATTCTTGGCGTTTTCCTTAGCAGCAGTCCAAATGTATTTCGCTCCAAGAATAAAAAACCAATTTCGATCAAGAAATATTTTAGTGGCTGCGCTGCCATCATTTTTAACCATCGCAGAACTCTATAATCGTTCTGGTTTTGTGAAGATCTTCTATGACGCCTCTAAAAATCTCGATCGATCCCTTATCACCTACTTTGCAAATCTTTAGGAAATCAAACTTATGCTTTTTGAAACAACTCTTGCGTACTTCTAAGATCACAGTGTCGCGTTGCGTTACTCGATCACAAACAGACTGTCTACCTAAACTTGTTGTAAGTTCACAGTGTATGAGAGTAGCAGATTTCAGTTCGCTGTAAAGTTAACTTTACTATGAGCTTCGTGCAGACAAATCGATTGTACAGAGATGGCTATTGCTTTGTGACACTTTGTTTTATGGAATATTTTTCCGTATTAAGTGATCACGTAATTCCCGGGATGACATTTTAACTTGAAGTCTAATCTTTTTTCTGTATGTACGTGTACATACAAGGCTCTTTAATTTAATTTAAGAAATTTTTAGTTCTAAATATTAGATTTATTTATTGTCAGATTTATTATGTTAATTTTGTTAAATATTTTAAAAATATTTTGATGTAATCTGGATTTTAGTGTTTTATTAATCGATCAAATCAGTATTGTGATTAAGAACTCTAATTTTTTGGAATGAGTGGTGTTTAACATCTTGTTGTCCACACTCATCTCTCTTCTCTTTTCCCATATACTTACATTTAGGTATGCACCGATGCCGGTTTAAAGTGACACCGTTTAAGAACAAAAGAGAGAAATATTCTAGCTACGCTACCGGCAGACCATTTCTGTTACTCGATCTTTTACGAGAAATGATGCCCGTTTGGGGCGCGTAGAAAAAACCAAATCATATCTACAAAAAAGGGTAGCTCTTGTGTGTAATGGCAGGAAAGGAAAGAAAGAAAAACGAGCTGTGCGTCTACGATGTACTCCGTTTTCTCACAGCATTACCATTTCTATTAATATTAAAACAAAATCGATGCAAAAAATGAGCGTTCGGAGCCAAGCATAAACAGAATAGAATGAAAAAAAACAACGTGAAGTTTTCTTTTTTCCATTGTGTACTTGGTGTACATATAAAATGAGCATAGGAAAATGTTGTTTCTACTAATCTGTTCGGGCAGTTCAAACGAGGTTTAAGCCGGTCGCATCTCAGTATGCGATGTGTACACAGCATGTGATGTGTATGTATGATCTCGACGGAAGCTAGTG